TTGAACATTCAGAAAGAGTGAATATGAAATTCTAATCACGAAAGGTGTTCCCCGAGGGGATACATACCTAGAGTTTGTTTTGTGAAGCACGTCAATTCTCTCCTGGGGAGCGTCTTCGTGAGCCTCTTATGGTTTCAGGATAGTTCAAATCCTATGATGTTCCGATTCAATGCTCACCGATGATCTGAGCCATGGGGCAAGTTTGTTTTCCTAAGAATCTTTTTGAACATTTCGAGAGCACATGTTTGAACATTTAAAGTGCATATGAACATATATTTACGAAAGGTCGCCTCCGAGGGGATAAATCACCATGTCGAACATTGCATTTTTGTTCCTGCCTCTCGCGTTCTCTTCTCTTCCCGCTGTGTTACCTTTCGTGTCTCCCTCTTCTCAAGTAGATTTGGTTGACGGGCGAGGAAGCTACCTTTGTGGCTGATAGCCACATATATGTATAATATGTGTTTGAATTGTGTATACGCGGCACATGTATACCCGCAGCCTGAAAGACCCGGGCGCTTCTTTTCTCAAGAGCCTGTAGAATGATAAAAAACACAGTATTTCCAGAAGGGGTCGTATTTGGAACATGGTGATTGATCGATAGGCTCCTGGGTCTGCATGTAAGCCAGCATTCATCTGGTATGTATCTGTGAAGGGTTTCGCACTCCCGGATGCTCATCATGACCTTTGAGGGACGCATCGTGCTTGTCAGTCTAGGACTTCTCGGTTCTCAACTGATGGGACATTTGGGGTCCAACTGGTCCACAGGGTTTGCTGAAGTCGATCCATGCACTGTTGGCCACGATGTGCAACCAGGTGTGGCATCCAAGTAAGAAGTCGTCCGACAATACTCCTCACATCCCACAAAATTTGCATTTGTTCAACTCTGGGGGTCGAGTTTGGAATGAAGTTGAGAACATTGTTTTGGTGCGACCATCGTCAGCATCCCATTCGTTTGCCAAAGTTGATGCCAAGTGGCTTGGAGATTTGTTCGCCAGTTGAATGACACAGCCGCCCGCCATGTCCGCAGCGTCCACTTGCACAAAGCAGGCAGCTGGCGAAACCCCGAACTTGAGGAGTTCCCGGACACGGGCAGAGTCTGCAATGGCGACTCTGGCCTTGCAAAGGTTGCACATGCACCCACATGGTTAGTGTTTTCCTCAGGGTGACACACGCGAACGGCGATATTATTTCCATCTTTTTACTGCCTGACAATGGACCTTTTTCTTGTTGTCCTGGACCTGCTTTCTGCGCATATCAGTCCACTTAATAATGGACCGGCCCGATCTTTGCCTGGGTTGTCAACCTCCTACAGGCGCGGATCGCTTATCGCTTTACTTAACTATATATGCTACAAATCATCTGCTGCAAACAAACACACACACACACATTTACACACACATATATATATATATACAGAAAGTTATATAGTATAGAGCACAAAAGACGCGATTAATTTTGTGGACTTTTGGATCTATCGTGGCTTGTGGGTGCTCCTCACTTTCCGTCTCTCGTGCCCTGCGGTCCAGCAGCCCGGACCTGCAGCATCTCATGGTGGAAAAGCTGTGCCGTCCTAGCGCATCGAACATCGGGAAAATTGGCACGGAGTTGCACCCAGAAGATCCAGAAGCTTTCCTAGGTCCACCAAAAGGAAGGAGAGTCCATTTGATCCATTAGATGATCACGCCTTTGGCGGTTGTTTGTGCAATGTTTCTGCCAGGTCTATGCGGTGATCCCCTTCAACCGGAATGGTGCGATCCTGGGGATTTTACGGATCGCCTTCAAGGTGCGCATGCATGGGCTGTGCGCGGGCGGTATTTTCACTTCTTTTTTTTTGTGGGGGTGTTTTCCCATCGGACCGGGGGTGGTGAGGTGGTGATGGATTGACCAACGTTGGAATCACCATTATGGGTGATGGAAGAGCATGTGTAAGGGTGTGGGGGTGTGAGGTCCACTTTTGCTGATTTGATGGCGAATCATGAATGAGAGGATTTCTTTTGGTTGATTGAGGCCGCTTTTCTCCCAAAGACGGGCCACCTAGGTCTGAGTTTTCCGAGTTCCGGACCTCTCACCATGCGACGGACCAGACTTCTGGTCTCCTTCGCTGCTGTCTGTTGCTTTCGGAAGGGCCAGATCGCCAGGCCTTCTTCGAATACGTCCGGGAAGAGACCTTCGGCAAGTTCGGGCTACAGCAGATCCAGGCGAACCCGCCGGCGTGAGAGTCGCAGCGGTGAAGCCGAGACCGAAGCGGCGATTCTGGGCCCGGGGCCCGGGGGCAGCTGTCTGTCTTTGGGGGTGCTGTGGAACCAATGGGGCCTTTCGCAAGCCATTGGCCTTCCCAATATATATTCCAGCTGAGCTCAACGGCATGAATTGGATGGCCCTGGCTTGGGCTTGGCAAATCTGCAAGCGACCAGGGGCCCAAGGCCAATGGTAAGAAAGTCTGTGCAGATCCCGCATGTGAGATGCTATGATATGCCATGCTCCTGCAAGGCACACCCATCACCAGCCATGTGCAACTTTGGAGAACCCAGTCCTCCTTGACACACCGTCTGGCACGACAGGTGGACTGCGCCTTCATCGGCGAAATGGTTTGGGAGCTTGGAATCGGGAAGGGGGCTTTTTGTGCTCATCAGAGGCAAGATGAAGCAAGCTGGATTTGGAACTTGGTTGGCTCCAGAACAGTTTTCCAGATGTTGCTGGTTTGTTTGGTGATGGTTCATTGGAGACCATCAATCCATCGGCTCACAGGTCCGAGATTTCCTGGAGAATGAGGATGCAAGCGTGCTGGAGCGGGGCGGGATGCAAAGTGCGGCGACACGTCACAGCTCGCAACCTTTGGTTTTGTTCTTCGGCCATTCACGGACAGTTCGCAGAAGGTAGCCTAACACTAACACCTGACGGACTGTCACCAAGTGTCTCATGAAAATCATGTCCCTCAAGCCATTCTTACGCCGTTTCCTGCTCCATGTGGTAGAAAAAGATGGAGACTCGACAATGAACATGACGATTTTAAGGCTTGACCCCTTCTCCTCCCTTCAAAGGAGACACCGAGCCGACAGAACCTGACTGCAGACCGACCTCGCGTCAGGACAGCCTGCTGGACGAGGTCGTGGCCTCTGCCCAGATGCGCTGCGTGGATCCGGTGTTGATGGAGCCGCCCGGAACACCCAGCGTGTTGGCGCGACGACGTGTTGCGAAGAGCGGACTTCCGGACTTTCGTTTCAGGGGAGATGGGCAGTGATGGACTTGGAGGTCTTGGGGCATGTTTGGTTTTTGATGGTGCTTGTATACCTTTGTACCTGGTTCTGCTATCATGATCTGGGGTACACATAGTGGTACACAGTACACATGTGTGAACGACACAAGCAGGACTTGAAAGGACATGTCCAGCATGTTGCCACTTACTGTATGTTTGATCCCGCTTTTGGCATTCGACAATTTAGACCACCTGTTCATTCTGTTGAGCTTGTTTGCGCCCGGAAAGTGCATGGTACAGTGAAGATACAAACTCGGTGCAGTCTTGAGCAGAAAAGACCAACATGACTCGTTCTGCAGGGCCATGGTGGAGGCCAAATGTGAGGAGAAGAAGAAGACCTTCAGATTCGAGTGAGACTGCGCCTGCGCCTCCGTACACGAAAGCTTACTGAACCAACTGGATAGCATCAGCTCAGACTCAGCCTCTCAAAGTCCTCGCTTGGCTCTGCGAAATGGAGGCTTCGGCCTAGAGCATGTCGCGGATGTTTCACTGAGGACAGATCAGCATGGATTAAGCACCGAAAAGGAGGGACCGGCGCAATGGATCGTGAGGTCGGGTGTGCTTTGGTCTCGCTGTGCGAGTGGAATAGATGTTGCCAAAAATGGCATTTGCAGGCAGGACTGCGGGTGAACACCTCTAAAAGCCAGTCGTTTGCCTTCTCTTTTTCTAGACATTGCTTCCTCATCTTCCCGGTGCCGTTCGGTGATCGAACCCGCCCGTTAGTGCGACGTTCGGCGATTCTCCGACAGCCCGGGGCTTTGCTCCGCTCTTGGTTCCCGCAGCCGAGGCATTGGTGGGGCAACCGCTTCGTGGATTTGATCGCTGCAGTGGTGGCCGACGCCTTGGAGGTGAGTTCGGAGTCGAGAGATGGGATGGAGAGATGGGACGCAAACTTAGGCAACAACGTGGGGATAGGGTGCATACCATGTATAATTCAATATAATTCGGGTATATATATATACATAACAATTATAACACATAATATTGTATAATCATTAATATCAATATATAATATATATATATAGAGAGAGAGGGATATGTTGATAGGCTCCAAGATGCTTCAAGCTTCCAAGGGATTCGCAAGGTCGACCATGGCAGCTCACTTGGCTGTGTGATGCTGAGTGCGGGCAAGTGGTGAGACAATTGTTGTTGCTGTTGTTGTTGCCACAAAAGTTCTTCATGGGCCAGTCCATCGTGAAACGCTTCTCGGCTGGGCTCCCCAAAGAGAGACTACTCGGTGTTGGCATGTCACTAGCACAAGCCACTCCGTGACTGATGATTGCAGATCGATGCGGAATAGAGGAATGCCAGTGTTGTTTTTGGAGTAGTTGCTATATACAGTTTTTTTTTTCAGAATTCATAGTCTGTAAGTATAATATATAATTATACATCGTGGCCAGGAGTCGAGCTATGGCTTGGTTTCACGCTTGCTGCAGAAGGACCGCGGTGCTGGCATTGGAAGCTCCTCATGCCCCCAGCGTTGCAGCTGGGGCAAGCACCCCAAATCAAGAGGTGAAGGCTTCTGGAAGGCGCTTCAATTGATTTCCTCACGCTCATTTGCCATGCAACGCAGTGTGTTCAGTGGGAGGCACTTCTCGTCCCAAGTAGTCACCAACAAGCTGGATTGAATGGCATGCTTGCTGTATTAGCCCACGAAAGCTGCTGATGCAGCAGTACAGAGTTGCAAAACACACATATGACAAGTCTTAATATATGAGTAAACTAGTTGAAGTGACCAACAAAAAATGCTCATGATCATGTATGTACTATGCAACGCGTGTGCACGCACCATGTGCATAAAAGTGACCAACAACACCTCCCCCATCTCCTCTTGGACCCTTTTGCGAGAGACTGCCGGCCCACGCGCGCTGTGGAAGGAAATTGACGTGATTGAGAAGATGCTAGAGCGCTGCGATCGCCTGGATGATTGCTATTGGATCTGTGCTTTCTGCGGCTTGACGAAAACGCCGATTTCACCGCTGGACGAGTCCGGAGGGTAAAGGGCTGAGAGTTACCCCATGGCACGACATATGGTCACATGGTCTCCTCTTGGCCAGGTACCGGTGCGGTCTGAGATGTGTTTCATGGGGAAAGTGTGTCACGGCCATGTTTTTTCAGCGCCTGGCAGGGATCCCTCAACGAGCTCCAATTTCCAAGTGAAACGCAATAACAAATTAAGGCTCAGAAGCTTTGCCCTGTTAAAACTAGAGGTCAGACCGCCGCGATGAGTCTCTAGAATCAACGCTGCGTGCAATTCGGGCAGCAAACCTGGGGCCATTCGTCTCGATACACCTCCAAACCCAAGATGATCAACCTGGATGTGAAGTCGCGTGAAGTTGTGTTTTTTTCCTGTTCAGCCATGTCACAGCCAGCCAACTCAGTGAAGTCAGTTCCTAATAGCTTCTTGTTCCTAATAGCTTCTTGTTAGTACTAGTAAGGCACTTGTTACTAGAAGATCTAGAAGCGATGCACTTGTTACTAATGGCTTCTTGTTACTAGAAAGTGACAAAAGTGGCGGAGTTCGATGTCACCCGACTTCAGCTCGACTTCGATGTCTCGCACCAACGAGACTCTCATACCTTGAGGTGTGAATCAGCACGCCGCCATTTGTGCCGCTGGGCATCGCTTTTTTCGTGTCGTGTTGCCGTTCGTTCCAAACGAGGTGTTTGGCGGGTTGAGAACAACTATGCACTAGCCACCTAGCCAGATGGTCAAGAAAACAACGAGGAAGAAGAAGACACTTGCCAGTTCACCTGTCAACAGCCTCTATATAGATCTATATAGATATCGGTGGCTTCACTGTGCACCCTACCTCAGTGGTTGTTCTTCGACCTGAACGCCTTTTGTGCAATCTGCTAAATCATCGCATAGTTGAGTCACACAGAAAGACATAGCACCACCTTCATTATACAAAGTCACGTAATGTAGCAATGCTGGAATGATGAGACGTTTGACCGGTTTGACTCGATCTTCCTTTCCGATGTTTGCCTTTGTCGCCTCACTCCCGCGGTAAGAGTTCACTTGTCAGAGAGGGATGTTCGCCTCTCCATCCGCGGAGCATGGAGCATGGAGCAGAATGAGGGGTTCATGGCTCAGGATCACAACCACGACACGAAGGATTCTCTCACTGGACTGCCGCATCCGCTCTGTGACTGGAAGCGACCGCCATTTGTTTGGGGTGTGGGATGATGGGATGGGTGTGGGGAGCAGCACGGGCTTTTTGAGTGAAAAGGCAGCACTGGTGCATTGGCAACTGCTTGGAACCATCGAGCAGCAGATCAGCTCCCTCGAAAAGCCACCGAGGCGATTGCGGCCTTCCGAAGCACCTTGGGCGGATGAGATTTTGGAGCTCCTTCCATGTTGGTCGGTGTGGATTGGTGAACATTCGGGGGCTTTGAATGACAGGACGCTTTAGGCCTTCTCGGCGGGAAGCGATTAAACAAACTATACAAAACATATTTTTAAAAAAATATATATATATATGGTATATAGTGTGCTTAGCTTAGAACCTTGCGCAAGTGCTGTGGAAGTGGTTGTCAGAAAGACATGGTCGGTGATGGTGAACTGGCATGGTGATGGTGAACTGCCATGCATCATGCGATGGGCCTGGAAAAGAAGCAGATGCCTGTTTCATGCTGGAATCGGAATTTGTGTGCGCAGGCGGTTGGGAGCAAACAACTGACAGCCTCAAGGATCAAAAAACGGGCCCCGTTGAACCCTGGCTGTTTTGCAAGTGTCCATCAAAGGGGGATTGAATCCAGAATTCTCCCGGTTTGTTTTGAGGGAAGCGCAGGGCACATCCTTCAACAAGAGGCCCGAAAAAGCAATCGAAACCTAATATAACATGCTCAACGGGTTTGCTCCTTGCTCTTGGCTCAAAAGGGCTCCCTGGCGGAAGGTTCTGCAAGGCGACCCGAAGGTTTGGGCCGGTGGGTGGAGAAAGCGCCAGTGGGAGAAGGAGGCTTCTTGTTTGCTTACATTCACTTCTACAACTCTCCAGATTCTACTGTGAAGTCTGGTGCACAACTGACACGGCTCCTCAGTTAGAGTGCCAACGAACCAGTCCTGTAAGGATCAAGCCTGCAGAAGACATTGGGTAAGCATCTGTCCATGTTCCATGTGTGCGTTGAACATTTAGTCGAGTGACATCTAGCGAACAACGTCCAAGATTTCTCCTCTTCTACTGGATCAAATCCATGGTAGTGGGTTTGACCACCAAAAATCTTATGAGCTTTCCACGAGGCTCATGCTGCGGCACGCGGCGCGCGCGGCGCGCTGGCCCCGGGGCCTTGGGCAGAGCTACAAGCGTCAGGGGCGCGTGGTGGCTTGCAGGCCGGACGAGCGGTCAGGGTGCATCATAGCAGATCTTGGCATGCGAGTGAACATCTCTGCTTTACCGGCAAACTGCCACTACTGCCTCATTCCACCACGTATGGGTCAAACAAATGCGCCCTCCAGTCCTCCAATGCCAGGCTGCTGGTGGCCAGATGTTGGCTTCCATCCGCACGCTTCCTGTCGCAGGCCACTTGGGCTGCTGGCTGCCCATGTGTGCCCAACCCTGGTATTGACACACTAATGGTCCTTCAGCTAAGTCATTCGTGACGGACCAGTTTCTCTCGGCGGTTGGGCCCTTCTCAGATTCCGGAGCTTTCCGTATCCATCCAGACACTCAGTCTAGCTGCAGGCCAGTGGCCCTGAAGGTGATCCACCAGGCTGGGTGTAGCAGTCTCACTTTAGGAGGGGAGTGAGCATGCCCACAACAAGGTAACAAACATAGGGATCTTTAGAAGGTGATTTTTTCTCTGCAAAGCAACTCGAAGTGCTTTTGCTTTTCCGCGAGCCGACCATGGCGGCCCTGTCATGCATGTCGCCACCAATGCCAGCCCGGTGACCAGTAGAATCTTCATCTCAGCCAAGTGGGGGACACCCAGACAGCCCGGAGCTGCGCACAGCAAGGCATCGCCCTCCACATACACCCCACTCGTGGTGCGCCACGATCCTGGTCTCTGTGCTATCGCGGTTTGAGACCACAGAGACGACAGAACCCCAGTGTTCAACATCGACGAGCGTCTCAAAACAGAACAACAAATGGCTGTGGAGCAGAGCCCGGATCCCCAGACCAGGGTAGGTTGACCTCCTTAGTAGTCCATTCTGTTCATTTTCTCTGGTCAACCCAGGTAGCCCGGTTTTGACCCACACCCAAATCACTTCAAATCACCTATGTATAAGTGTGGACATTTCATGGCATTGCAAATTTCAGACCCTGCGTCAAAAGATTCCTGTTTTGTTGCTGTTGCCTGCCCAAGTCATGTACATCCTTGACCAGCCACACCGACTCCAGCCGTCCATGCAATCTTTTGTTCTAGGCGAGGCAGGAGCCGCAGCTCCTCCCGCGGACGCAGCCGCAGGAGCCGCCGCGGAGCCGGAGCTGCTCTATGCGCTGCCGCTCTTCCGGAAGCCAGCCTTCCCTGGGCTGCTTGGCAGGAGCCAGCGGAGGGGTGTTTTAGTTATGTAACATTGTTTATATAAGCATGAATGATCAGAGGGTTGGAATGAAGAACGGTTCTGTGAAATCATCATTGACTCCACTATCCGTCTTGCTGACTGAGGTTTTACCATGTGATCCAGGTCCAGGATCCCGAAATCATGGATTACATCGTGAGGCTCAGATCCTCAGAGAAGGGAGGCTACCTTGCAGGCTTCATGACCAAGGAAATGCCTGAAGGCTTGGCTGAGCCTTGGCGGACTCCAGTCGATCTGTCACCGCATTTCAATCCGGTCGAGTCATGTCGAGTCGGTCCGTCGTTTTTGGGCGGTGCCAGGGTGCGCCGATCGCATGACGGCAGGATGGAGACCTTGGAAGTCGATGTTCCTTGGTTTGAAGCAACACTTGCGATTTACGAGCCAAGTCATTCCTATGTCATTCCTCAGTTCCAGTAGGACAGAACCGAGGGGCCGTGCGACGTCCGAAACTTGGGCGCGTGCCATTCCTTCCGCGACGCGACGCCCAAGGACTCCCCACAGAGCGAGACGGCCGCGCCGTTGCTGAGTTTGCCTCCAACCCCGCAGACGCAGCAGGGCGAGAAGAAGACGCGAAAGGACACGGGGAAGGCGGGAGGTCACGGATCATTTTAGGATCGCGCGCGTCGAAAGGGCACGGAGTTTATTGGGCCAAGTGAGGGAAGTGCCCTCCGAATTCATGATGTTGCTTTTAACCTGTGAACGCCTGGAACAAGGCAATGCTTCAAATTCGCTTCAAGTTTGAACTTAACACCCGGCTGTTCAACTTCTTGGCATGTCGTGTATACCTGGGTCTGGGCACCTGCGCGTCGAGAACCGTTGATGCTGCAGTGGCCAGGTGGCTTCCTCGGATGCTTTGATGGAGGCGCGGTCAATTGTGCCATAGACGGACCCCAGCCTGGGCCTGACTCATTTGGTCCCAATCTTGTGTTCCAGGTCCTGATAGATTGATTAGATCCTATATGAACGTATGATGTTGGCGAGGTCCAGCACACCACGCCCATGGCTCACCTGTCCACGCCCCCCCTCCCGACCGACCGGCCAGCCTCCAAGCGACCGCCAGGTGGGCACGAAGCTCCAGGCGCGCTGGGGCCGAACGGCGGCCCCCGCGGGGAACTGCACTGCGCCGTGCTTCGAGCTAGTCAGGAGCAGGATATGTTTCTTGTTCTCTATTTTTTCTCCGGTATGTTCGTAGGTGGTGTATACCTGGGCTTTTTTTTGCCTCCTCAAACAATTCTTATGAATTGTGTTTGGAATCACTCTTATGTTTGATGATGGCCCTCCATGGATCCATGGATTCTTTGTACAACAGTTGGATTTGGATTGGCGTTTGGCACCGCCCCCTGCACCTCCAAACGTCTACGCGGTCGTCGCGGTCTGCGCCAGGTGGTGACGGTGACCTTGGGGAAGAACCAGGCGCCCAGCCAACCCGGTGGCAGCCTGGTGGTGATGCCCATGCAGCGAATCCGCCGCGTCCGGGGAACCCAGAGAACTCGTCCGGGCTGCGGCCCGAGTTGGGAAGTGGGCTGGACGAAGTTCGGAGATGGGAGAGCTTGCAGCTACCCAAGCTTTCCCAAGCGAGATTGGCCTGCACAAATTGAGAGAGAGAGAGAGAGAGAGAAAGAGAGAATGAGAGAGAGAAAGAGAGAGAGAGAGAGAGAGCGAGAGACAGAGAGATCACCCTGTCCAGTTTGTTTTCTCCCATGTTCTCCCAGCATTGACCCAAACGTGTTACTTTCCCGGGCCTTTTTTGTGGATCCCAAACCTGCAGCCCGCCCCAGTTCACCATTGGCCGCGAATCTGGTCTCCTGGTGCCATGACCCACGGCCATTGAGGTGGGCACTATCTCCAATCCCGTCGCCGGGGTGCCCCTCTGCGCCGTGGAGACGGTGCCCCTTCCCGTGCTGGAAGTGGCTTGGTGGGACCGGGGTGTGAAGATCTGGGAGATCTGGGGGCAGTGGACCGGATTGGAAGGAACCCAAGAACCAAGGCAGCCGTTTGGACGGCCCAGATTGGTGAAGGAGGAGGGAGGGGGTGTAGTTTTAGATAGTTATAGCAGCAAAAAGACATCACAAGCTGATTATGATATGAGCATGGGAGAAGCCGGTCCACTAAATTGAAACTCTTCAACAAAGAAGACAAACACTTGGGATTTCTTGAGCTTTGCGCTCATAGAATCCCACCACGCAATGAGGGCTTTTGGATGCTTTTGGATGCTTTTTGCATCGAGTTGTTCAGGCTGTCTTGCCACTTCTCTCTTTGAGGGAATAATTGATATCCTGTGCACAGACCCTCCTGACTCCCATGCGGCTCATTTAGACTCTGGTCCCTAGTACTAGTACTATAGTACTAGCAGCAGCAGTAGCAGCAGGAGGAGTGGTAGTAGTAGTAGTAGTAGTAGGAGAAGGAGGAGGAGGAGGAGTAGTCAATGACGTAGCGCACATGGTATCACATGGACTTGCCCTGGTCATTCAGCCGGGCAGATGATCCAGATGTTGAGGTGCCGACCGATGAGTCCGAGACCAGCATCGAGATTCGAGCGCTGAACCATGAAATGGTCGCCACGATGAAGGCGACAGACTGCGTGTTTTGCACAAGTTGGGCGCAAGATAGCGCAAGACGAAAAGGCTCACATGGGCGAAACTTACCCCTCAAGGCAGGCTTCTTGCCATTGGGGAGAGGTTCGGTCCCGGATTCATGCGTCTTTCGATCGTTGTGCCAAACAATGGCCACGACAGCTTGTCACCATCACTTCTTAACCTAACACCCTCCCACTCCAGGCACAATCCCCTCAGCTACTGGCAAGCATGACCACACTTGACCACATGATCATTCAGACTTCCCACTTTAAATGGCCTAAGCCTCCGAACTCACGATTGTGTCAAACCAACACATCGCTATGACCTCACGAAGCTCCCTCAAAACCGTCGGACTCATCCACGGGTTTTGATGTCAGGATTTGCTGAAGATGCAGTTTGTTAACAAGGAGCAGTTTGAGCAAGTGATCAAGCAACCTGGGCAGCAGCCTAGCGAACTGCGTCATGATGAATCTTAGTTGGCTCAACTCCTGCGATTACCGAAGTAACTCGAGTTGTGATCTTTGCTTTTCATCACCCCTTTCATTTGCCAACTGCTGAGGCAGGAGGCAAAAGGCGGTTTCTGGGTAGGAGGTAGTAGGAGGCAACGAAGTAAGTTAGTTCCAGAACCGTCAGCCTCACCCCCAGATTTGGGCGCAAAGGATGCATATGCGTGTTTGCCCATTCTCCTCGGGCCAGTGGCAGAAAGTAAAGCTTCAGGAACCGGCCTCTAACCTGCAAGCAGCCTGAAATCTGGATTGGCAGAAGCTTGTCTTGATGCCAAGGTACTACAACCTGGACGACCCCCTTAAGCTTGCAGATTTAGCTTCTGGGCGTGAATGCTTGGGCCAGGTGGTTGTCTTCAGCCGGTATGTGTGGCGTCCGTGGCGATGCAATCCAGCGTAAATCTTACCCTTGCAGGTGTGGTCCCCATGGGTTGAACGCGACAAGCAGCTGTTTCTCTGATGATTGCCTAGATCATGATGCAGGGCCCCACCACATCACCCTGCGCCGGTCTTGTGAGATCTCTGTGGGGCGGATCACCGCTCTATTGGTTTAGGAGGAGGTGGTCGCTAGATCTACCCGCAGAGTCAATCCAGGCTAGGAATCCCCATCAAGATTGGCATACACCGGTCCACCAGCGGATCTGTCGGATGGATCAATCTGGTTCAGTGTCGCGTCGAACGACGCCCGGCTGGGCGTCGTTCGTGTCCAGCCCAGGCTGCTGGCATGTCCAGTGCTCCGCGGCAAGATCTTCAAGAGGTGCTCACCTGCGAGGCCCGGCCGGCACATCGGAGATCGCAAGGGATCGACGGCGCGATCGACCTGAGAAGGTGCGTTCACCCTCGAGTTTGTGGTTTCTTTGCCAACCAAGGTGGAAGAGGAACGACATAGGGCGAACGGGAGGTCTGATCCTGACAGGGTGACGCACAGGGTGGGAAGTGGCAGATCCTGGCAGGATGCGGCCGAACGCCTTCGCAAAGTCCTCTTGATCTTGAAGAAGGAGAGGGCCAGCTGGAGACAAAAATGCATCTACTTCGTGAGTCAAGTGGTGCTGTTTATGGAGGAACGCACTTGTGTTCCAGACCACTCTACTCTCCCATCTGCAAAAAGAACATGAAGCGGATGAAGGGGATCAAGGGGTAATGAGTCATCAGATCTATGGGGCGATCAAGAAGGATCAACGGCCCCATGCCAGGACTTGGAGTCGACACGTTTGCAAAGCCAGTTCTGAAGCTCAGCACTTGCGACGCCACGAAGATCGATCTTGCGTACCATGAGTAAGGTTTGGTGTGACAAAACGGGTCCAATTCAATGTTCCTTACAAGGGCACCAGTCAGATTGAAACATTGCCCTTTCATGCCTTTTCCTTCTCCAAAGAGTTGAGTCTGGCAGGTCGCTTGCCTCATCGAGGACTTCGCCTGTCCATTCGAAGCGCTCGTGTCTCTCAGGTTTCGAAGCCAAATCGAGGACAAGTTTGCGAAGGAAAACAAGACTCTTGGATTCCACCGTGAATCTCTGGGACGAAAGGAGAACTCCGCCCCCTTGCAACCTCAGATTGGCGGAGTCTTCTGAGGTATGAGGAGGCACGACCCCAAAACCTGCAGATCTTCTTTTCATCTCTTGGCCAGCAGCCCGACACCCCGACCGGAGGCGTTTGTTCCGCTCTCGCCGATGTGATCTGCGACTTAGGAAGTTCATCCTGATGCAACAGCTTCGCTATATCAAGCGGGAGTTGAACCTCGAATGGGATGGCAAGCAGAGCATCATCACTGCCTTCAAGGCAATCGGGCGAGTTAGTGCGTGGGCCCGTGCGGCGTGGGCTCAATGCCTGAGACATGGGGGGTCAGCAAACATGCGGTGATTCATATAGACATGTCATGAGAAAAACACACCTCAGGAATTCTAAGACCTCAGATTTCTATTGCTGTGGTATGCTTCAGATCCACCTATAAATGCCCATGAGTCAAAACAGGAAGAGGCCCTGGAAGGTGGCCCAGGCAAGGTGACAAACTCAGAGCAAAAATGACTAGAATTAGGCCAAGGAGTTTCCCATCAGTCATAGTAGTCTTGGGAGGGTTTTGAGTCTTTCAGGCTGCTCCCTGATGGCTTGCGGGTGGTATTTTTTAGGGTTCTGTGGGTTGTGTGGAGTCCCCCCATCCTCGGGTGATCCTCCATCATGCGGCAGGAGTCCATCAAGAAGTTGGGGAACTTGGTGCCAGAGGAGGCAGCGAAGGCCATGGATCAGGAGATCAGAAGCTGCTAGGGGTTTGTGGAATGTTGAGCCTCCCAGAGCCTTTTGGGTCCAAAGTGCCTCAACTTGAGGCTTGGGCCCCCAAATTGTTGAACAAGCCCAGAAACTGTGCCGATGCGGACTGCGAGCAGTTTCTTCCTCTTTTGCTTCAAGTTCTCCACTCAATCCACTCAATCCACTCGATTCCACGACTTCCGAAAGTGAGGAGCTGAGCAAGTTGGGGAACTTGGAGCCGCAAAGTGCCGAGTTCAACGTGGGGGAACTCAGTGCGACGGAAGGGGGCCGTGCGAAGGGGGATCCTTTTAGGGGGATCCTTTTGGGATCCTTTTTAGGGTGAAAACCTCAGCGCAGGTGCCCCAAGTCCATTAGGGCAATTCTTTTGGTCAGGTCGGGGATGGTATGGACCCACAGTTTAGGGGCGAGCTGTGACTGTCGGGTTGAACTATGGCTGAAACAGAGGTGTAGTAGTGTAGCAGTCCAGGGTAGGGCAGGAAGTTGAGCGCGCTTCAGGTTGAGGCGGTGCGAGATGAATGTATAATAGTACGGGCGGAAAGCTTAGAGGCCCGGCTTGTGCATCTGGCGCCACCCCAGGTTTGCCGCACCTACCTCGAGTGGCTGACGGCTCTGCCGTGGGGGAAGTTCAGCGAGGAGGGCCTGCGCCAGAAACCGATCCCTAGGGGTTAGGTGCAGTATGTAATCAGTATACACTCAGATTGGCACCACAGAACTCACCTGGAAGGATCAGAGTCAAGACTGCAGCACAGAATCAGAATCCGAGTGCTTTTTCTAAATATCAATGCTCTTGAAAACGGTCGTTCTGCACTCCTGGAACTATACCTCCTGGATATTCCCTACAAAAATGTACCGAACATATCAACGAGCGGCAGGTCAGCTGACCTTTGCGCTGGACATTTCCATACATTTCCAACATAATTCAGTTGCTGAACACCGTAATTATGTTCCAAAACATTGCCAGCACAGGAATTTATTTGAAGCATCGATCCTTGTTGGATATGAGCTTGCAACATCTTGCAACCAGAGTTTACAATTGAGTCGCAGCCTCAGGCACACACACAAAATTATTTGGAGTGAGGGTTTGCCATAATACGTTAGGGGCCAAAATTTGCCTTTGAGTGAACACCTTGGGAGACAGGAAACTATTTTGTATGTCTGGAATGTGCCAAAAGTGATCATTTTGACTTTCTTTCTTTTCATTTCTGATGTGGTTCAGGATGATGGGAAAAGAGTTCAGCCTGATGCTATGGAGCACAAGAATTCATTTCAAGTGGGAGTTTCTCAAACACATGTCAGGGGCCAGGAACAAAATCAATCGGGCAGTTTGCTAGACTTTTTAGCAAGGTAACACTTGTAAGACAGAAGGACGTTATTTTTTGAGTGAGCAGAATCATCTCTTTTGAGTATACCTTCACTTTTGTACTTTTTTCCTACTAAAGGGGGGCCCTGGACGGGCTAAATGAGAAACTTCCGTGAAGTGCTCCAGGACAACACTGACATCGACCGGGCCGAGCGGATCCTGAACGAGGATGGCCCGTGTCATTGGGTCGTTGGCGTCGTTGGGTCATGACACAAAGGCGGAGGGAGGAGGAGGTCCGTTGCGTCAGCGAAATCAGTCCAGCCTAACAAGTTAGCTAGTCAGAGATGGATCCATGATGGATCCATGCTTATAATGACCAATGGGCGTGTGTTGGAATAATGAAGGATTGATGTTTCATGATATTTCCAGCTGGTTCCCCGCAGCCCGTCTCGCTCAAACCTCACCGATTCCGCCCTGGCGCGGCCCCCATGCGAACCCTGGCCTATCAGGGCCTTGAGGCGTCTGCCTTGGAGCGCCAGGACCGCTTCCCGGGGAGGCGCCGGGAGTCTGGAACGGCACGTCCCATTTTGGAGGAGGTGTGTTGGTCATGACTGCACCGGGCGTGGCGGGAGGTCCGGGGGAGCCGTTTGAAAGCACGCAGCGCCCCCGCGGACGCGGCAAGGAGGAGAATGGCCCAATTGATGTTGACCACCCATGGTATTCACGTGCTGGGCCCGACCGCTTTCCAGCTTTGCGCCACCTGGGATTCTGTGTGGGGCTGGGCTTGGTGGTGGTGCTCTTCGTCTATGGCCTGAGTCTCATTCCAAGCTAGTCCCGCGACACTACACTGTATATCAAGCGACTGTATGACTGTACGGTATTATTTCGCTTTCAACTGGCCTTCCATGGTTCCTTCCTCTTTGGTGGCCCCTGAAGTCGTGTTGCTTGATCATCTCCTCCAAGTCACCCAAGCCTTTTCCGCCGCATGGACGGCGCGTGGACAGCGAGACCCATGTGGACAGCCCATTAGGTGGACTACACTCCACTCGATTCCTGTGGGGTTCTTCACTCCGACAGTGTGGATATGGCGGATATGGGGCCTGTTCCACAGAAAACGGTGCCATAGATGGGGCTCAGATGAACCTCCACGGCTCCACGGCTGTGTCCGACACTTCGTTGGCACCACCGCCTGCGGCCCTCGGACGACAGCCGACTGCCACGGCGCCAAGGACCTTGAAGATCCCCGTGGTGACGGAAGGAGCCGAGCCCACCGCCTTGGACGGCAAAGCTGTTCTGGTCAAGTGGGAGTGCTTGCTGGGAGTCCTGTTGTTTAGTCCATTTTCCACTAAGGGAGGTGAACCCAAAGCCAGTTTGGATGGAACATTTGATCCTACAAACTGTTCTCGTATGGGTGGAAGCTTCATCCTTTCCCGAACCTTTCATTCCAACCTCTACCTTCTTCTTCGGTGCCTTGAGGTGTTTCTTCTTGCTTCCCCCAAAAACGCCGCCAGATCTGCGAGGCAAGGGCTGAGCTTGTCCGAGACTCCGCTGGTCTGTGGCCCTCGGGACCGGCCCTTCACCGCCAAGATCGTCTTCCTCGGCACGCAGAAGCCCTTGAAGGAGCGAGAAGGCCGAGGTCGGGCGAATCGACCGGACGGACCCTTCTCCGAGGTCGGCGCGCCGGTTCTGAGCGATCGTGGCGTGTTTCGACCTCCAAGCCTTCTCATGTCGCCACGTCCTTCAGGAGATGAAGTCGTCCCTCCCCTGGGTCCCCGATGCCGGGCTGCGACATGGCGGCTTTGCGCGCTGGACCGCCGACCGGGGCAAGTGCCTCATGGTGAAGATGGGCTCGCAGATGGTGGCGACTGAGGACTGCGCCACCCGGTCTGGTTGATGGTCGACCAGGTTCGTCCTGGCCGAAACCAGGGTGCGGAGGCGTGTGCGTTCCAAAGATCTCCGTGGCCTTGGGGGAGGAGGGGAAAGGGATGGAAGATGATGGAAGTGACCCAAGGCATCCCAAAGCATTGGCTCAAATTCATTATGCAAAGGATATGGGGCCATTCATTGTATTTTGTGCTCTACTCTTTTGGCTCTCCGCAGTATGATTTTCAGATGGCAACATCTACGAGTTGGTGGAATTCCTGGGAGGACACAGCCCTGCAGGGAGATTTGGCTTTATATAATCAGTGACTTCAGTCTTCAAGAGAGGGTTTGAAGTTGACTGAATCAAGCTTTCAGAGGGCCGGGGCGTGCTTTCAGTTCAAATGATTTCATGTGTTCTCATGTTTTCTCAACCAAATGGTCTCAGCATCACTCCAAGATGTCAGAACTCCCAAGGTCCAACGTAAAGAGGTCGACCAAGTGACCCAGGTTGGTGAGTTTTTTTTTTAATCCGTGATCTCTGAGGCCACGTCCTTCACTGGCTTTGCATCCGGGCGGGAGAAACAAACTCCTGGAAGGGGGGGGGGGGGGGTAGGAGGAACTTGGCTGGGCAAGCTGAGCAGGTTCCCGGCGGCTGATCAGGCACGATAAGTGGAAGATAGGTTTGGGGCCCCGTGGAACTTTGAGTGAAGAGTTGCTGAACCATCAGTATTTAGAAAGTGAGCACGGTAGAATTAACATGGAGATGTATGTACTGTAATTACTGTATTCTGTTGCATTTTTTCATTTTTGCCTATTTTTGACATGCATGTGTACATTTGGTGCTTGTACGTGACCAGCTCTTCAAGTCACTATGTGGATGACTCCAAACAGAACTGAGATGCACACCGCACCTGAGGTATTCAAAGAAATCAACGCGTTGGATGAACAGAAGCTCAGCATCGTAAGCAACTTTTTGTGATTCTTCCTTCTCATCGACTCGACCATTCTCCACTTGCCCAGCCCTTTCACGGTGCTGGATCCAATCCTTCAGAACCGATCCCTGAATCGGGCTTCACATAAATCCTGAATCGTTGCTTCATGAAACTGAAACACATTGAACATCATTGAACTATTTTTCTTGGCCTTCACATGGGTCCTGATTTGATTCGTCTTCGACTTCCAACGGGGCCAAGCCATCGGCTTTTGAGACCCAGGCTCCAGGGCTTCGGAGGGAACGTCACGAACGACACCGAGACTCGGTCAGACAGTGGAAAGGCCGGCCTCGCCGGTTTGTTCTGACCACATACACACTGGAAATGTAACATGGAACCTGAAAACCACATAAAACCACTGGGTTGTAGAGGAACGTCGTCTTCCAGTCTGGTCCATCTCTTCAGATTCCATGGTTCATTTTCCCGGGTGTATGACCACGCATGGCCCCGCATGTGAAGTTGATTGAATTCGTGGCCACGCATGGCCACGCTCAATGAATACATGGGAGTTGCGGCTTTCTGCTGGCACCCTGCTGCAAGATCTATATACTCATGAGCAAACACTAGGGTCGGCGTATGGACAGGCATCGCCGTGTGGCTCTGGGTTCCGACGAGTTTTCGGTCGACTTACCCATCGAAACCACCATGAGTTGCTAGGGCTAGGGTATTGAAACCTCTGGAATTGCTGGATTACAACGTTCATGTCTTGACGGAACCGGTGCATGTCTTGACACCTCTTCAAATCGGATTGAACGCATGATAGAACACCATGCGAACTACCAGTATGAAAAAACAAGATCGCTTTGGATCCCTGTGGGCGCATTTTAATTTATGCTTTCTATTGGGATTGTAACCATCCAACACATGTGAGATGTGCCATCGGAAAAGGCAACAACCTCATTGTACTTCAACATCCAGACAGGCATTAAGTCGGCTTGGTTCCGAGATGACGCTTGGTTGAGTTACATCACCTGCGCCTTCCGATGTTGCACTCGAACATGTGTAGCGCCAGCATCTCTTTCTGTACACTACCACCTGTTCAGCTGCATGCCTGTGCCTACTCATGACAGTCAGGCGAGCACATGGCTCCAGTAGTTTTTGCAGGTGTTTGACTCCGCAGCTCGCCTGAGGAGATGAACCTCACGAACTTCTCCACGCCCGCGCCCTACGCTCCACCTGCAGAGGAGCCGCGCTTGGTGCCGCCGGCCTTGAGGGTGAAGCAGCCGCGCTATATTCCACCCCCAGAGGTTGGAGAGTCGTTCTGGCAGCCAGAGGCGCACTGACATGGCTGAATCATCTGGGAGGGGCGTACTGACTGATGGTGGTGAGTTTTTGCTTTTATTATCTTTTATTCTTGCCCTGGAAGGCGTGGTTCCAAATCGAGCTCATGCATGATGCTACCCAGTGCTTGTCCCGTGTTGCGGACAATGTTTTGATGATCGAACCATGTGCGCGAGTGGATGCAGCAGAATTCCAGAACCAGCATTTTACCCTGCAGCGCTTGTCTTGGTGCAACGGCGACCAAACCGCATACCAAGTGCGACTGGGGGACAGGCACCTTGGCTTCTGGTTCTCCAAGTGCAGAGGGACTGTATTGAATTGATGATATGATTATGTGTAAGAGCAGGTTCTCTACATTCCAGTGCAAAATCAAGTTTTCCTCCTTCCACTTCAGTAAGAAGCTCAAGTTGGACCCGGCAAGGGTTCACCAGTTTCTGAGCATCCAACAAAGATGACGTTTTTTATCGTTTTTTGCTTTCTGTCAAGTTACTTCAGGAGGTGAGGACAGTGAGGATGCCTTATATATATAAACACTGGTTCTTTCAGGCGTCATTTTTTTAAAATTCTTGATGTTTGGTTCAGGGATATTACGACTCATCGCTGATACAAGGCCTATGATATTGACATGTTTTTTCCCCACATCTCTGTGTGGGGTTCTAGTTTTGTTGGCTGCCATCCCGCCCGCATCCGCCCGCCCGCCCGTCCCTCCCTCCGTCCCTCGCTCCTTCCCGCCGTCCACTCACTCACTCCACTCACTCACTCCCTCACTCACTCACTCACTCACTCATTCACTCACTCACTCACATCACTCACTCACTCAACACAAGATCTCACCACTCACTCACTCACTCGCTCGCTCGCTCACTCACTCACTCACTCACTCACTCACTCACTCACTCACTCACTCACTCACTCACTCACTCACTA